GGCTTTCGTTGAGCGATGGCAGCCGGATACAAACTCTTTCCACCTTCCGTTCGGTGAGATGACGATCATGTTACATGACGTCGAGGCCATTCTGGGGATTCGTGTTGAGGGTAAACGACTTTGTGCTGTGGCTGATGCGGATCAGGCAGATTTGCTGGCGGAGTTGTTGGCGGTGGACAGGGCTGCACTGTACACCGAGGCGCTGGGTGTTTGGGAACACGGCGGTGTGAAGATCGTATCCGTGTTGCAGCGGTGTTTGTACCCCAGCGCACGTAGGACGCATGACGCACAGCTTAGTGCTTATGTTTTTCTACTCCTCGGATGTACCTTGTTTCCGGATAAGAGCGGCGGAAACAAGCTCAGGCCACGCGACATAGTAGAGGCGTCTGACCCCGACAGTGTAGGCCAGTTTTCCTGGGGATTGGCTACGTTGGCGTATTTGTATCGCCAACTAGGATTTGCGAGTCGGGCGGACGCGGCAGGTGTCACTGGGTGTCTGACTCTATTGCAGACCTGGATATACGAGTACTTTCTTGCATTGCGACCACATCGTGACCCGGTTCCCATTGATGAGGGGATGCCGCGTGCATGTGCATGGAGTCCGCGCTCGGAGAAGAAGTCCGTTGACCGCCTCCAATCGATACGGTTATTGCTTGACAGGCTGTCCCCCTTAGAGGTAACGTTTATAAATTGTTTCTACATTTTATTATTTGCACATATTATATTCATGTTATTAAATTTTAAAACTATGTGCAGGTGAACTGGATGCCTTTCGGCCCGCACCCTAGTGTTAGGGTACCCAGGACCCTGTACACGGGACTCATTCAGTATCGTGAGATCGTCGAGGCGTACATGCCCCAGCGTTGTCTTCGCCAGCTTGGATTTGTCCAAGTTGTCCCTCCTCCCCCGGCATGGCCGATGAAGGCGGTCCGACCTGCATCGTCGAGGGACTACGTCGTGCGATGGCCAGATATCATGACTGCGACGTGGGACCAGTTTCCGATGGTGGCCCGCTTATGGACTGCGGAGTTGCAGCGGGCGCCCTCTGGGCTTCCTCCCATGTGTGACCAGTACTACATGGAATAATTCAACCGGTATTCGCACCCGAGATTGATCGCAGATCTCGACCACAACGATGATGATTGTTTGCCACCGCCTACTGCCACGGAAGCTGTATGTCTCATAAAATATTTATCGTTGTTTTTGAATTAAGTTTTATATGTTGTTATTGTATTTCATCTTTTATTTTTTGTTGTATGCAGTGGATGGGGAAGATAATGCAGGACGTACAGAAACTCTCTCTAGAGAAGGACAGCATGAGTGCAACAGTGAGAGCTACTGTTGATAGTCTGGAACAGACCCTTGCGCATTGGGAGTCGGCGTCGAGGAGGGATTACTGATGGTTTTGATCGTTTTAATTTATTAAATTGAACATTATGTTTTAAGTTTGTAACATTTTACTACCTTTTTTTAGCTTTCAACTTTGACATCTTACCATTGTTGTTTTTCAACTTTGACATATTATCATTTTAGGTTTTACCGTTCGTGGATCCGCACAACTTACCCATGCAACATATAGAATGCAGTAAGCAATACAATATAAAAAATTAATGTTCTCATTAAAAGAGCAACGTACAAATAAGGTTACATAGGAATAATGTAAACATGAAAAACTAAAATGCAGCTAGGGTGTTCCATTCGTGGATCCGGTCATGATATAGCGCATCCCAACCCTCTACACTCGCTGTGCGAATGGTGTACCACCGAGGTATAATCGGTGGAACTGGAAAATCGGATGACATGTCTAGTCGGATGAAATGTCTGTATGACGATCCAAGAAACGCAATAGCTACCTCTCTGACCGGTGTGGTGACAGTCTCACGCGAACGCCAAGGGAGAACCGTGGTACAAGGATAATAAGCTTGACTATGCAACCCCAGCCCGAAATGCATGACTGCGCACTTGTAAATGTTTGCAACGGCAAACAGATCTAGGGGCGCGTCAAAATAATGATTTTGACCGCAAGGTCCACCTCCCCACCGGATACGCCGCAGAGCGCCATCCAAGTCATCCTGGTACACATGACGATAAACGTATCGGTTAGAGGCAATTTCCTGATGCCGTTCTTCTGAGTTTCAATTGACTTGTTAAGTCTATCGAACAGTGTATCCAAAGCAGCGGTCGATGAATCAATCCAGTCCTTGGTAGCTCTATGAGCGCTCTCAACTCTACATGTTGTAGTGTTCCCGTAATGAAGTACCTGGTTTGTCCAATATTTGACAAACTTTTCCCTGTGAGGGACCCATTGCTGCATCACATAGTCCACCAGTGCCGGACACCACTGGTACGAATCCCTGAAGTTAGCCAATTCTCGCTCGTACGCTTCCTCTGTGGTAGCCTGTAGGATCTTCCGCCACTTACCATTCACCAATCTCTCTGCCATTTCCAAATTCTTGTTGAAAAGGTTGTAGGCTTTCACTTTCATGCAGTTGTTGATGTGCCATGTGCACAATAAGTGATTCGATTCTGGAAACAGCTCTGCTATGGGGGCAAATAGACCTCCCTCACAGTCGCTGACGATGGCTGCTGGATGAACATTAGGCCCGATGTAGTTTCTCAGCTTCTCCAAGACCCAATAATAACTTGGAGCCGTCTCATCCTTGATGATTGCATGACCAATAAGAAAGTTCTGGTTCGTTGGAGTCATCCCCATGATCTCAACCAGTGGGAACTTGTACTTGTTTGTCTTGTACATTGAGTCGATCAAAATCACAAATGGCCAAGACTTGATCATATCAGCACAATCAGGATGCACAAGGAAAAGATGAGTCACCTCCGCTGTATCTTCATCAGAATCAAACCAGAACAGGTAACCACGTGATTGTGCCTGGTGTAGCAGCTGCTGTATAGGGTTCCTTCCCTCTGACCGTTCAAACCTGAGTTGCTGTCTGACGTTGTAGATGTGTCTTCGGTTTGGATGCTCTTCTGGAAATTTCTCTAACACAGATGCTAATATTTTAGCAGGCTTGACTTGAGCATCACTCATTTCTTTCACAACCAGTTTCGCAGCAGGACTTAAGCCGCTCAGCTGTCGATGACCCTCTTCATATACTATCATCTCATGGTTGTGATACCCCCATTTAGAGTAACCAATCACTTCCCAACCGTCACGACTCCGTAGTTGTCGGACCTTTACTCTGAACTCACACCCACAGCCTTTCCGCTTTGTATCAAACCGAGTGGCTGTACGAAAATCTCTTTCTTCTCTTTTGCGATAACGGTCACATCTCAAAATGCGATCCATTCTACCATCCCGTTGAGATTTATGGGTTACTACTACCAAGCAAAATCCAGCTGCAATTGCAACTTGTTTTGCCCAATCAATCGCTTGTTGAGCTTCTTCGAATGGACCATCATGTCCAAATATCCCACTGTAATCATTTCCGTCTCCACCATAATTCTGCATGAATTATATATTATAATAAATACATTTAACGCATAATACATTTAATTTCTATATTTACACATAATTAACACAAAAAAAAACATAATTACGTATAATATTATTCATACACATACACATACAAATTTTTAAACACACTCATTTATAAAAGTCACATAAACAATTAAATATTTTGATATACATTAACACAAATCTACTCACTACATACATAAACACATTAAATAATTAAACATAATTTAAAAAAAAAACACCGTTTTGAATTTTCAATTTGAAATAAATTGAAAACAAAAAAAAAAAAAAACCATTTCCAATTTTTTTTTAATACAATTTCGAATTGTCAAATTTAATTTAAAAAAAAAAACCTTTCTCAACAATCAAACTTAATTTTTAAAAAAACCCAATTCGAATTTTCAAACTAAATTTAAAAAAATACCATTTCGAATTTTCAAACTTAATTTTACAAAAACCTATTTCGAATTTTCAAAATTAATTTTAAAAAAAGCCATTTCGAAATTTTTAAAAAACTCATTTTCTATTTTTTAAAAAAAAAAAAAAAAATTAGGCCCAACAACAAAAACAAAGAAGGAAAATAAAATAAAATAGGGGTGGCGTCTGCCAGGGCCGCCACAGCCACTGGACTGGCGCCTGGCAGGGCCGCCTCAGCCAGCAGACTGGCGTCCTGGCCAGGCGCCAGTCTGGTGGTTGGGGCGTTTGGGCTGGACGCCGGTCCGGTGGTTCTGGCGTCTGGCTTGGACGTCCGTGCTACGGTTTGGGCGTCCACCCTAGGCGCCGGAGCCACCCCTACGGTAAACCGTGAATTTTAACGGTGACTTACCTCGTTTTCCGACGACGACGACGTACCTCCAGCGTCCCCCACAACTCCGGCCTGCCCTCCGGTCTCCCCCGGCGAGTTAGTACGGCTCCACATTTTTTAAATCGAGATTTGTTCAATTTTAGAAAATGGAATCCCCCGGCGAGTTAGTACGGCTCCACTTTTTTTAATTCGAGATTTGTTCAATTATAGAAAATGGAATCCCGCAGCAACTTAGCACAGCTCCACGGTTTTTAAATCGAGATTTGTTCAATTTTAGAAAAAGGGCATAATTGTCACACCAAGTCATATTTGTGGGCTTTATATGGTAATTTGCGGGCGATGTTTAGCGATTCACAAAAAAAGACCCCTAGCGACAATTTGGTAAAAAAATTCACCCCGGCCACAATTTAGTAAAAAAATTCACTCCAACGACAATTTGGTAAAAAAAAAAAGTAACTTAAGCGACAATTTAGTCAAAAAAGTAACTCAGGCGACAATTAACCCAAAAAATGAAAAAAAATCCGGCAAACAACTCATAAATGTCTAATTTAATTCATTTTTATGGTTTTTTAAAATTACTTCTCCCATTTATTTTTCCCACTTTTCCAATATTTTTAGAGAAATAAAAACTTGAAGAAAAAGGTTTAAACATCAATTTTAATTTATTTTTCAATCCCTTGTTATGGTAATTTGGGATTTAGAAAAATAAAAGGTTTGAAATATTATTTAGAAAGTTTATTTAAATGGAAAAATAAATTTAAAAAATACAAAAACGAATTTAAATGGTCATTTTGAAGAGCTCGCTGGGAAAAAAAATTAGAATTTTGGTCTTAATGTCACTTGAGGTTTTTTTTTTTTTTTACCAAATTGTCGCATAAAGTTAATTTTTTTTACCAAATTACCATTGGAGTAATTTTAGGTTTACCAAATTGTCGTTAAAGGTTTTTTTTACCATTCTGATCAATTGGCCGTTTTGAAGGTGTTATTTAAAAAAAAAAAAAAAAAAAAAAAACCTCCGTACACCGTAAAATTTCCAAATTCCAACGTTCTCAAAATTTTGCAGCTTCCCGCCCATTTCATTACCCCGATTTTTACATTCCCTCTCCTCCATTTTCTTCTGCCCCTTTCGCTGTTCTTCTCAAACCTTCATTTTCCACAATACAATCTCACTAATTTCAACTGTAAAAACCCTAATTTCTGCTCAAAATTCATACTTCAATTATTCCCCCAAAAATCGACGAACAAACTGAATTTACTTAAAAATCGCGAACTATTGTAATCGATTTTGATTCAACTATACCAGCCGCTGCACCAGATAAACCAATTTTAGTATATGAATTCGAGGCACTGCTAACAAGTAAGTATTATCATTTTATCCCCTCGAAATTTAATTTATTGATTTTGCAATTAGGGTTTTGAAATTGACGATTTCCCCATTATTCTGAATGTATGTGTTTATTTAAATAGTAGCAGTTTATGGTGGATTTTTGGATGGGTATGCTAATTCATGACGAAAGTGAAGCTTATAAATTATGAGGTAATGCTTTATCTTTGTGGGTACTGTGAATTTAATGAAATTTGGAGGAAAAATGGTGCTGAATTGCTGATTTAGGTTTTCTGTAATGCAGTGGGAAGAGTATTTTTGCTGGGAAAGAATGCAGTAATAAGCTTCCTAAAGTTAATTGGGCTGAGCATGTGAAGTCACATAATAATTTTGCTGCTCAAAATGAGTTCTTAGCCTCGAGTTTTCTTTTTTCGCTACCTTCACAGAAGCCGCCTCCTGAAGGAAGGTAAATTGCTGTAAACGTCGTTTTGTCAAATGATTCGGTTTCTGTAGCGTAATCAGGGTTTATTTTGTGTAAGGTATTATGCTTGATAGTTTAAAAGGAAGAACATTAGAATTTTAAAGTAAATGATTAGTTCTAGGGTTATATGATACTGACATGGGGCGGGTTTTATGAGTGACATGGGTGAGTTTCAAAGTGATATGAGGTGATACTTCATGAGTTCAACCGTCTTATGTATGCACTCGTTTAATTCTAGAGTTTGTGCTAGAAATTTCAGAAAATCAAATGCCCGCAGCATCAATAGTCTGCTAGATTTTGTTACATCAACTTTTCTGCTTTTATTCCGTGGTTGTGAGCTTGTGACAGTATAATATGATGGACTCATGATATGATTTACGTTACCTAAGTTTCAGGATCACATGATAATGTCCTTAGATTGACTCATATCTACTGTTATCTTGACTAGATATAGCAGCTGTTAGTCCAATTTGTTATAGATTGGGAATTTGGGATTCGCTTATTTGGTACTATACTTGTTAAAAAAGATATATGCTCATCATATTCATAAGTTTTTATGTTCCTTCTTAGGATGATGAGCTTCCAAGTTCAGAGTATTGGCGAATCACAGGTCGAACAGGTAAATTTCTTCCTAAATAGAACTAGTGTCTGGATTAGGTGTCATTCCATTGATTATCAAGTCCTTTTTTACTTTTATTTTTTTCATCCCTCTTTGATTTGGTTACCAATTAATCATGTACTAGTGTCTGGATCAGGTGTCATTTTCCATTGATTATCAAGTCTGTATATTAGAACTTTATCCTCTTTGATTTGATTACTAATTAATCATGTAATAAATTATACCAGTAAATAATTTATTTTCCATTCTTTCTCTTTTTTCGTGAGCAACTTTTATTCTGTTCTCTTACAATCTTATACTTCCTCCGTTCTTTTTTTATTGCACCATGAGTGATTTCACGCTTGCCAATGCATTACTTTGCCTACTAAAAAAATTATAAAATTTTGACATTTGAAATGTAGATTTCAAGACGAATCTAACTAGATCCCTTATGATTATGCTTTTTCTTATGGATAAATCACAAATGATGGTCAAAGAACATTATGTGAATAGTGTAAAAGTCTTAATGGTGCAATAAAAGAAAAATGGAGGAAGTAGAAGTTTGGTTGATTACCTTTACTAATCTTCATGGGAGCCTGATGCTTGATAGGTAAGAGGAGGGAGTGTAGGCTATGTTCTGTGCTCCAGGATTCAGTTAATATTTACAGAGTCTAAACTATAAAGGTATATTATTTACAATTTTGTCACCATCCAAACTTCTTGTTTGATTTTTTTTTTTTTTTTTTGGCAGGCCTGGAAGGCCCTCTCAAACCTTCAGCTTGGCTGCAGAAACTATGTCAAGCCTGGCAAAACTGTGCAGCCAGTCAAAAATGTAAATGCCACTCAGTTTTCTGGAAGACATGTTATATCAAAGAAGTCCTATGATAGCAGCACAAAGCTCTCTGAAAATCAGCAATGGAATCACAAAGAAAGTGAAAGCAAAGACAAAGCTGGTAATCCCACAAGGTATTATGCTGCCTCAGCTCCAATGCACCATACAGCTGAAGCTGAGAAAGCTACTTATGGCCAAAAGCAGAAAGAGGCAACAATAATGTTGCATAGCTCTCATACACCATTTCCTGAAGGTTTACAACATCACAATGTCAGTTCAACAAGTGATAGCAAACAGCTAGATGGGGCAGTTACTGATGGAATAAATGATGATGATATTCTCGGGGTAATCTAACGCATAACTTGATATTGTTTTATGAGAGTTGCTTTTGGAAGACCTTTTGCTTCAGTCTTCTAAATTTTAATTAATGAGGCACCCTTTTTTTTTTGGGTTAGCCTGTAGCTTGATTAATGTTAAAACAACATATAATGGCCATTATCTGCTAGCTGCTACCATCACATTTAATGTTGCATTATAAATCAGTTTATTTGTTACACCTGGTACTGGGACTGGTGGTGAATCCACTTCTAAAGGTAAAAAGAAAGTTGTGAATAATCAAGATTTACGGTGCCTAGTCAGTAGAATAATAGCCACCATGTGAAATAATAAGGTTTTGTTCATCATTTTTCATCTAAGTTTCCGAATGATACTGCCTACTGATTGTCAATACATTGAATATGCCTGGCCAGAACATTGATGTTGATCAAATTGTCATGGAGCACTATCAATCAAGTTGCCCTCCTCAGCCTACTGGTTCTAAGTCTCTACAGGCAACTCCAATGGTTGCTAAAAATGATAATACGAGGCACGATGAAGCCTCCTTGCCTCCAGAATTATGCTGTAATTGCAGTCATGGATATAAGGTGTTTTCTTCTGTTCTTTTGTTGTTTTAATGATTTGTCTGTTTAGAAAATTAATAGTGAGAAGATAGACTTTGGTCTGAGCTTTTCCATGTGGATTGAATATAATGGGTTTTATATATGACCTGATAACATTTCATCACTGTTAATGCCTAATTTCTGCATTTCCCAGTTAGGACTTTGTCCAGAAAGGATAAATCATCTGCAGGAGATAAAAGATATGTTAATTGTCATATCAAATGAATTGCTTGACAATTTGGATCTAACTCCTGAGAGGATGGAAAAGCTTCGCCAGGACAGGTTTGCAGAAAACACTTCTAACCCCCTCTGTTCCTCTGGCCTTCCTATCTACAATGATTATAGTTGTTATGGTTTATGCATTTTGGATAACTCTTCTCAACACCTTAACTTTCAAGAATTTCAGACAACTTGCTCGTACATTGAAAGATTCTCTTGTCTAGGTTGCAGCTAAATAAACAAATTCAGTTGATGGAGGCTCATGTCCGCAGCTCAACTACTGATATAGAGATGCAGAATTCACAGTTATCTGCAACAGCAGCAAATGTAAGGGTCTTTAATCATGAGACACCTCAGGCAACCTTTAAGTCAAATGGGTATGTAACACCTCAGGCAACTTTTAGGTCAAATGGATATGATACACCTCAGGCATCTGGCATCATGGCAGTTCCAATGAGATTAGATAACCAATTTAATAACTTTGACGAGTCAAATGGGTATAATCACTGTGACTTATCATCAGTTTCATTCTCTTCTACTGGGAGGTTTGAATTTTCATCAGCTCCTATGGAAAGAGAGTCATATAAACCGAGAATTGTTGATGTGAATTACATTGAAGGTTCAAATGATAGGAAATGGAGTAGCTGGGACTTTCCTTGGACCAAGAATTTGGAGGTGATTACTTGCGTTCATTTGAGAACTTTACTTACATCGTGGTTTATTATTTATTATTGTTACATATAAATTTTATTTCAGGCTAACAATAAAAAGGTGTTTGGTAACCATTCTTTTCGACCCAATCAAAGGGAAATTATCAATGCAACCATGAGTGGTCATGATGTTTTTGTTTTAATGCCTACGGGAGGAGGAAAAAGTTTGACATATCAGGTACATAACCTCTTTCCAATTTCTACATGAATGATTCTTTGTTACTTCTACAATGTTAGAATGTGTCATCAATGAAGCCTTTGTAGACTAGTTGGGCTTTTGCAGTTTTTTTTTTTTTTTTTTTTTTTTTTTTTTTTTTTTTTTTTTTTTTTACTGACATATCATTCACACTCAATAAGGATGTAATGCACTTAAATTTTCCTTTTGCCCCTTTTTGTTTGGGGTTGAGATTGCATTATGCTTGAGTCTGACGTTACCTGTTTTTCTGCAGCTTCCTGCTCTTGTTTGTCCAGGAGTAACTTTAGTTGTATCACCACTTGTTTCTCTCATCCAAGATCAGATTATGCATCTTGTACAGGTGATTTCTTACCTTGCCTAAAAAAATTGGGCACTGAGATTGAGATGGATCCCATCACAGAGTTAAAGCTACTCTGCAGATGACCTGATAATTGACCAAGATCACCATTGTCCACCAAATTAACTGTAATACTGGAAGTGAACGCAGTGTGTAAATAGGTGCTATAATATTTATATTTGTTTTATTCGATTTTGTAATATGGCAGATGCTGTGGGTCTAACAGATGATCAAACTTGTCAGATAGATAAGTTTACTGACATATCATTGTCAGATAGATAAGTCTAGGGTCCCCAAAATAATTGTTGTGTTCTAAAAATTCTAAATCAGAGAACGCAGTGCTAAACTCCTTTTCATGGTTTGAGGAAGTATTTATGCTGGTTTCTCATCAGTTGTTTTTGTGCTCAGCTTAGAAATGTGTTCCAGTGAGCTTTTGTTATGAATTAACATAACTGTATAGTGGTGGAATCAAAGGAATAAGATGCTGAACGTGAATGATATTTCTGGAAGTTCATAAAATTGTAGGATCAGTTATCAAGCTTTTAAGTGGCTTGATTCACTCCCATGAGCTAAACAAAATTAAGTATTCATATCTTGATTGGATGCCCTCTCTCTCCCTTATTTGTATCATTTCTGGTTCTTTTCTCTCTTTCTCTTCTAACTAACCATCTTCCACAGTAGGCCAGCTCTTTACAGCTTGGTATCTCACACATACATTATATTGTTTGGAGCACTAATCTTCTAATATATTGAGCTATTAGTCTCCAGCCTCCACTTGTCAAAGCACTTGAATGATCTTAGACTCCTGAGCTATCTAACATCTCTCTCTTTCTCTTTCTCTGCAGTTTTATTAGTTTAATCTTAGACATCTATTGTATCTTGACATGATTTTATTATTAGGCAAATATACCGGCTGCTTACTTGAGTGCCAGTATGGAGTGGAGTGAACAGCAAGAGATACTTAGAGAGCTTTGTACAGATAATTGCAGATATAAGCTCTTATATGTCACGCCAGAAAAAATTGCCAAGTGAGTATCAACATTGTACAAGTGTGACATGTGTATTTACTGGTGCTGAAAAAAGATTTCATATAATTTGATCAATGCTGGTTCTTAATTAACGTTGTTCATGATCACAGAATTGATTTGTAAATCAATGCTGTAAGCATGAACAAGATTGGTTATGGCATTATGTGATTTTTTAGAGGTTTGATTATGGATCTTGTTGACATTGTCAACTTTTCACCTATGTGCAGAAGCGATGTATTCCTGAGGCATTTAGAGAAGCTGTATTCTCTTGATTTACTTGCCAGGATTGTTATTGATGAAGCTCATTGTGTCAGTCAGTGGGGACATGATTTTAGGCCAGACTATCAGGTATGTGCTCTAAATTTAAATGGATGTTTCTGCTTCTAGTTTTTCCTTCATTCCAGTGTGAATGTTTACAAATCTTGTTGGATTATGCCCAGAGTCTTGGAATTTTGAAACAGAAGTTCCCAGCCACGCCAGTGCTGGCTTTAACTGCTACTGCAACAGCTGTTGTCAAGGAAGATGTTGTGCAAGCTCTTGGTCTTTCTAATTGCATTGTTTTCCGGCAAAGTTTTAACCGTCCAAATTTGTCGTAAGTGTTGCCAAATGTTTGTCTTTTTGGAAAGATTCCAACAGATAAAATTTTCTGTTTTAAATTAGTATTCTTTGTAAGTTTAATGATGATATCTTGTGTAATAAATTTCAGGTATTCTGTTATCCCTAAGACGAAAAAGTGTGTGGAGGAAATTGACAAGTTCATTAGAGAAAACCACTTTGATGAATGTGGTATAATTTATTGCCTTTCAAGAATGGATTGTGAAAAAGTTGCTGAACAGTTACAGGTCTGCCTCTTTGTGGTTTATGGTTGCACAAGGATAGTTGTATTTGTTTCAAATTTAAGTAAAATGGTTTTCTACTGCATTTAATTGCTCACTCTAAACATCATGTTTCTAACTTTCTAAGAAGCATGGCACATCAAGTAATTGGTGCTGCTTCGTTCTTTTTATAAGTCAAATGCAAGAAGTTTGTTTCATTGTATTCTGGAATTTTCGTTTGAGCTATTTGTTTAAAACAAATAACTTTCTGCAATTATAGTTGCTGCTTCAAACTTATTTTACAATTAAGCAGTTCATGTCTTTGATTTTCAGGAATGTGGACATAAAGCAGCTTTTTACCATGGCAGCATGGACGCTGCTCAGCGTGCCTTTGTTCAGAAACAATGGAGCAAAGATGAAATTAATATAATATGTGCAACTGTGGCTTTTGGAATGGGTAACTTTGTATTTTCTGTTGTTTGGTGGTAGTTAGCCTAACTCTTGGTACCTGTCAACTTGTCATCTGACATGGATTAGTGGATTACAATACTAGGTATCAATAAACCTGATGTTCGATTCGTGATTCATCACTCCATCCCAAAATCTGTTGAAGGCTACCATCAGGTGTCAATGTTCACTATATATTTTGCGCTTTGTTCTCTTTCCCTCATGCTGTAGGATAATAGTGATTATATATAATGTTTAGTTCAGTGAGTTCTTAGTTTATTCATCTAAAAGATTAGGACATCTAGTTTTGTTGCTTTCAGACCGAAATTGATTGTCTTATGTCATTCATAAACTACAGAGATTGTTGCTATGGCAAGCATTCGTAATCTGTGGCTATGACAAAGCTGGTTGTTTGATTCTTTGTTGTCTGTACTGTGGATGCAATCACAGTAGTATTAGTGAGAAGTTGTGAATTTTGAAGCAATTGAACTCCAGTCAGATATTTATAATGTTTATATACACAAGCTGTCCCTGTTTATAATGGTTATACACAAGCTGTCCCTGTTTAGCTTCCAAACTAATGCAAAGATGATTGTGCATTTGGGAAAAGGTGTCAAAAAGAAAAGAAAAAAGGTGTCTGAATAGCAGCTTTGCTGTATTTGAGTTTGGCTATGATACAAAATCATTTAAACCGTGACTTATAAAGTTTTTCCATGATGAAGGAATGTGGTCGTGCTGGTAGAGACGGTCTACGTTCATCTTGTGTGTTGTTCTACAGTTACAGCGATTATGTAAGCCATAAATTATGCTATAGTTTTACATGTTTATATACTCTTATCACTGACAACTATAAATCCTATGCACAACCATATTCTTTAATGTTTGTCCTTAATATAATATTTACCAATAGATATATGTGTGTTTTCTCCACTTCCATATCTACTGATATTTGAATGTTTCACTTTTTCCAGATTCGTGTCAAGCACATGCTCACTCAAGGGGTTATTGAGCAAAATGCATTCACATCTGCACATAATCGTTTGAATTCGGCAAATTCTGGGAGGATAATTGAAACGAACATGGAGAACCTTCAACGCATGGTATATGATTTGCTGATGCAACTTTTGGTTTACAGTTGTTTTGTTCATTTGTTTGTTTCTTTCCTTGTTGCAAAAATTTGATAAAATGGTCTGATTTTACCAGGTTAGCTATTGTGAAAATGACGTTGACTGTCGACGACTTCTACAACTTGCTCACTTTGGAGAAAATTTTGATCCTGCACATTGTATTAAAACCTGTGACAATTGTTCCAAAACTAGAAGTTCTATTGAGAAGGATGTGACACTTGTAGCAACGCAATTGGTTAGGGAAGCTAATTGGATTTGTTATATCTATGAATCGTCAAGACAAGTTTACCTAGTGATGTTGATGTTTTGTGTAGGTGGAGCTGGTAAAGTCAACAGGGCAGCAACATTCATCAGCTCACATATTGGAAGTCTTCCGGGGCTCTTTAAGCCAATATGTAACAATTTATACATCTAAACTACTTATTTTTTTAATTTTTTTATCCTGGGTATGTGATGTCAGTCACATTTATTTTCTGTGGAAATTCCAGGTCAAGAAGTACAAGCATAATACTCTGAAACTTCATGGAGCTGGGAAAGGTTTGGCGAAGGGTGAAGCATCTCGAGTGCTTCGCCACCTTGTTGTTGAGAACATTCTTGTCGAGGAGGTCAAAAAAAGTGATATCTACGGATCTGTCTCATCAGTTCTGAAGGCATGGCCAATCAATTGAGATCTCTAATTACTTGCTTTACTGTTGTGTACCTGGGTAAAATATTTCCTCTGTTTAAAGCTGTGATTATTCTTGCCTAACTTGTTGTAGATGAATCCTTCACTTGTTTTCAGGTCAATGAAGGGAAATGTAGAAATCTTTTCTTTGGCGGTCAAAAGATAATTTTAAGGTCTGGCATCTAAATTCGTTTTTTAACTTCTTGACAACCACTAAAACACTATCAACTCAATTTTCTAACATATCTATGTTCACTTTTGTGGTGTGCTCTAAATCGTGAATTAATTCTGTGAATTACGCAATAATTAGTATTGTTTAAGACTAAGTTAAGTTGGCTTTTTTAAAACCCTTTTCCTAGCCAAGGCAATCAAATTCAGTTGTTTAATGACTGAAATCAGAATAATGCAATAAGCGTTCTGGAAGTCTGTAGCTTGTATATTTAGCTGGGTAATGAGCACCTGTTTATTGGATAGTAGGTAACATTTGACATGTATAATTTGCAGATTTCCTTCAACCATCAAATCAGCATTGAAAGTAACCAAAGCTGAGGCAACACCAGGGAAGTCGTCCTTGCTCTCTTTAGAGAAAACACGTCCTCCACAAAGCCGCACTTCTATGCCTGAATCAGAAGCTGACCAAGTATATCTCCAATTCTCCCACTTTATTGTTAATATTTTGGCTCCATATTCTCAGCTAGTCAGCTTTAAATATGAGTTTCGTCTGGTGATTGATTCTCTTTATTCTCAACCAGGTTATTGCTGCCAAATTGTTTTCTGCTCTTAGGTTGCTTAGAATGGCCCTCATGAAAGAAGGTGGGGAAAGGCTCATGGCACATCACATATTCACGTAAGCATATTTCCTTTTTAATGCAACATGTGCTCTTACTTTATTTTAATTTTATGATTCTTCATGTTCTATCAACTGCTAAATTTCATGATGCTAGAATTCCTACTCAGAAACAAAGAATATGTTTACAGCATTAATTTCTTTAAAAAATATACTAAGTAAGTGGATGCATAAACACACTTAATTTAATTGCTATTAATATAAAGCAATCCCCATCATCCCTAGGTACTATTTGCATTTACCAATTTTATTTGATCTCAATCTCTAAATCCTGGGTAAAATCATCATAATGAATTTATCTGTGGTTGAATCAGGAATTCGACATTGCAGGCGATTAGTAGGAGGGTACCTCGAACCAAAGATGAGCTGCTAGAGATAAGTGGCATTGGCAAGTAAGAGTTTTTAGAAATTAAGTTATGTTTATATGGGTTTTAATCTTTTTATGGGAAATATCCTTTTCTTTTGGGATTATGTTGCGGTCCTTTAATTTATTACCTTACCACCATAGTTATATACATCCTCCATTCTTTTTTTTTATTGTACTATGAGTGATTTCACGCTTGCCAATACATTACTTTGCCTATTAATATCTTTAATCACACTTTTGTAAAAATTATAAAAAATTGATATTTGAAATGTAGATTTTAAGATGAATCCAACTAGATCCCACATGACTAAGTTTTTCCTTACGAATAAATCACAAATGATGATCAAAGAACATTATATAAATAGTGTAAAAGTCTTTATGGTGCAATAAAAGAAAATCGGAGGAAGTACTTATATAAGCCAGAAGTACCCACCTTGACCACTTGTTACATTAGAATATAGTGGATGTCAATCAGCTTAGTCAGTCAAGTCTTAGGTGGTATCCAAGACTTGTTATTGAATTCCGTCTACAACAGTTTTCTTTGTGGCTTTCTATACACCATACTAAGAAATTTAAAAAAACCTTGCACAAGCCTTATTAATTTCTCGATTATAGTATGAATTCCTTAGTCCCTCTGAGTGCCAAAAGGGTATCACTTGCACAGGCTTTATTAATTTCTTGTTTACAGTGTGAAGCTGAAAAAGTATGGTGATCGTGTCCTGGAAACCGTTGAAGCTACCATCAAACAGCACTATAAGAGCAGCAGCAGCAGTAATGACAGTGCAGATTCAATAAAAAGGAGAAGAGAGGCTGCCAAGGTTTCTAATGGAATCTCTAATGAAGACAAGGACATGATGGGAAGCACTGGGAGATCAAAGAAAAGAGCTGTCAAAGCAGGAAAGGCTTCTGAAATTAAACCAATAGTAGCTGATGTGTTCAGTGACTGCCTAGATGTTGATCTTGATTTTGATGACTCAGTTTATGAAATGCAGGCTAATGGGTTGAATCCAAAGAGTGATACAAATGTTAATGGAAGAAAGCTGCCTATGTGGTCTGGAAAAGAGAATATGTAAATCAAATCAGCTAGAAATGTAAATTTTCCTTTAAATTGCGCTCCTAAATGTGTCGTGTACAGTGATTTTGATTTAGCTTAGGCAATGCCATTATAGGCAGAACGTGCAGTGGAAATGATGTTCTGCTGTTGTATTTAGCCAAAGTAGACAAATACATGTAATTTGATCCTGCATTTAGTTGAAAATTTGGTAAATTAGACAATGCATGCAATACAATGTCCTACTACAAGACACCTAAGAAATTTGCTGATGATTTTATTTATAAATGCAATTGCCCTTCACACACTAGTAGGTAAATCACTTGACAATGTTTTCTTTGTTACTTCCTCCGTTAATGGTTAATTGCAACAAAGGGGTTGTGCGCAGACTCTAATGCAAAACTTTTAGGAGTTCTTAATTGTGAGGTAAAGCCATGTAATTCAAAATAAAAAGGAGGGAAAGAAGTGTGGGCCTACATAAATTTTGTTTAAAAAAGTTGCAATCTAATTTTTGGGAGGTGTACTTTTCCCTCCCAAAATTTTCACCAAATTTCAAATTTTTACTTTTCAACTCCAAATTTTCAGATTTACTACTAAGTGTTTTCCTTCCTTGCAAAATACCATATGTAAAGGAGGGTATAAATAGTACAACACATAAACAAAGTTTTAGAAATTCAAAAGATACAAACCATGACTTATCAGTTATCACTAACCAAATTACATCCACAATTTAAACCACAAAAGCTAGCACTAATTTTGTCCTACTGTTAGCATAATTACCCAAAAACTACCATCCTAACTCTAATTAGTGCTAAGTTAGTGACAACATCTTTAGCAGCATATCTGCATGCTCCGGTTCAGCTTGAGTTGTCCAAAAAAACGCCACCTCCACTTCATCACCTTCTTGATCTGAAACAGAAGAAGTGAAACAAAAAAAAAACAAAAAAAAAAAAAGGGAGATTTCTTTGACCAAGATTTCTATGGGATAGAGCAACTAATTATAGAAGAAGACATGACTGAATTTTTAGATTCAAGTCACAGTAAAGATTCAACAACTGAAGAAGATAATGAAGAAACTGAGCATGCAAACAATCAACAGATCCCACATGGAAGAGGTCCAAATTGTGGCAAAAAAGATCTAACAATTGAGCAGAAAAGACAAATTGTTGATGCAATTTTGCTAACAATGACAGATGATGAATTTCCAAGGGGATTTCTGACTCAACAAGCAAACAAATTCAATGTGCACAAGTCAATACTATCAAGGTTATTCAAGAGAATCAAGCAACAAATGAATGAGGGGAATGTATGATGTCAGGTCCAAAAAATTGGGCAGATTTGGTCCTAAACAACATAATATTCAGATGAGTTTTTGATGTCAGTCCCATTATATAAGAGGACCATAGAAAGAAGCTATGCAGTAGCTTGGAAAATTTCTCATGTCACAATTCATAATTTGAGGAAAAAGGGGAGTCTGAACACACACAAGCAGCAACTACCCAGCCCTTACTTTTAACCACAAGATTGCAAGAATTTAGTGGGCTTTAGCTCACATAAATCCCATACCAACAGAGGAAAACCCCACATTTGTTGACATGCAACAAGTTATACACATTGATGAGAAATGGTTCTACTTGAACCCAGAGGAAAGAAAGTTTTATCTCCTTCCAAAAGAAGAAAACCCTTACGGGTGCCAGCAATAAAAATGATTCAAGATTAAGGCAATATTTATGGGAATGATAGGGAAGCCCCTATATAGCACAATAGGGCAGCTACTACATTTAGGGAAGTATGGGATATTCCCTTTTGTGTACACTACAGGGGCAAAGAAAAAGAGCATGAACAGGAAGGCTAGGACTCTTGAAACAAAGGCTGTACAGAGTGTCAATAAGAAAGCAATAAGAACAATGTTAATGGAGCATATAATTCCAGCAATCCAGACACAATGGCTTGAAATCCTTCCAAAAGATGTGCTAATATAGTGGGATAATGCTAAGCCCCATCAGATCCCAAATGATGAAGAGTTCAGAGTAGCATGTCATGCAATGGTTTCAACATACAACTAGTATACCAGCCAGCACAAAGTCCAGATTTAAATGTGTTAGACTTAAGGTTGTTCAAAGTGATTAAGTTATTACAGTACTAGTCATTCCCAAAAACTATTGATGATCTAATTGAGAAAGTTAAAGAAGCATATGGAGAGTTTGATCCAACTCTTAACAAGTATACTTGGATAAGTCTCCAAGCTGTCATGAAGAAAATACTAGAGAAGGATGGTGGTAATAACTTTAATCCTCCCCATATGGAAAAAAAGAAGTTAGAGAGGATGGGAATTCTCCCTGACTATTTGGAGGTACCAAGGGAACTCATTGAACATGCTGTGACTTATCTTAACACACTTTTCATACCAACAGGTGAAGGCAATGTGGAGGATACAGAAATGGAGGTGGATGCTGACTAACCACAGTATGGGTTACCAAACAATCAACACAAGGACTGTCACACATAACCAGTGAAGAAAGAAGCGAGTCATTAATGGTAACATCGTAGTCTTTGCCTATGTCTTAAATTAGTAGTTTATTTTGGTTGGGTTATTCTTGTTCTTCTAAACTGGTTATGTGTATTTTGACAAACATTACAAATATGGTGTAAGGCAGTCCTGTATTAGATGCTATGTGCTTAGTTATGTGTTACAAGTATGTTTTATGTCATGTCATGTATGAGGTGTTTTGAAAAACCAGTGATGAAATGAAAGAAATAGTGTTTTGACCTCATATTTGCCTATGTCATTGTAATTGTGTTACTCTATCAGGAAGAGTGTTTGTTTTCACATAAAATGGCCAAGTTGTTACATTAACAACAAATCATTTTTGAATTTGTTGGAGCAAATCAAACAAAGCCATTACTTTACAATTGAGTCCCTTCATCATTTGGAGTGTTCCCAGGATGCACACATTAAGGACAGGGACTTATTTCAGAAAAGGCAACCATCAACCATCTACACAGTCAGGTATGGGACTAATAACATATGCTGTAGGTCAAACTATTAGGCAAATACATCAAGGACTCATAAAATATACTATAGGGCAACCTTTTAGGAAAACACATAAGGGACTCAGTTCTCTCTAATTATGTCATTGAGAACAAATTCATATAGGCCAAATATCCATCCAATACTGTCAATAAGTTGACAAAAGTTACAGACTGTTATTTAGATTGTTATATCAATATAATGCTAGAACAAATTCTAACCCTAGAATTTGATAAAACAGAAAATTATAAAGAAGAATAATATAAATTACACTTCCAACCAAACACCAACAAGTTTAGAAAATACCAAATACAGAAAATCAATCTAAACTATAAGTATGAAAGACTATACTTGCCTCTTCCTTGCCAAAAGAACAACCAAGATCATGAGAATACCATGGACCACGTGAGTCTTCGATTCTTGATACTCGTCTAAGGCGTGAGAACACTTTCCTAAAGCGTTAATCTCCCCCACAACGGTGCTTGGGTTGAACTAGAAACACGCTTTGAGATACAATAGACGAACACTACACACTAAGCACTTAGATGTGTAGAAAGATGATCAAATTCTCAAACCATAAACTTAGAAGATGAAGAATCAAAGAAGAGATTGCAAGTTTCTTCTTTAAAGGTGTAGAGAGCAAAATTTTCAGAGAGGAAGTTTTTCTGTTCTTTTCTATTTCAAAGAAAACAAGGCCCCTTTACGGTAATAAAGGAAATAACCGTAAAAAACCGAAGACGAGCGAGGAGGCGCGGGCGCGAGCGAGAAGGCGCGGGCGCGCCACCACAGCAGCGCGGGCGCTCCACCATGGGGCGCGGGCGCGCCAACCCTGCGCGCGGGCGCGCCAACCCTGCGCGCGGGCGCGCCACTTGCTCGCGCGGGCGCTCCTCCTCGTTCTTCCAAAATTCCAACTTTTCCAGAAACCTGACACGATTTTGTCGCGGTTTAGGCGCGGGTCGCGCCAAACCAAGGCGCGGGCGCGCCGTCCGGAGGCGCGGGCGCGCCTCCTAAACTTTACAGTTTCTCCAGAAGCTCAGCGCGATTTCGTCGCGCTTTTGGAGCGGTCCGCGCTTGTCTTTCACAAGCGCGCTAACAAGTGGAGCGATCTCTCCACTACAACACTCTAAATAAACCAACAATCCTCCCCCATTTAGAGTGTTCCTTTAAATCCTTTCTCTACTTTCATAAAATAAGCTTCATCTCATGCATCAATGTCAATGTCCCTACGGATTGAATTGACACTCAGTATAACACACTTAACGATGATCATATCCCATGATTTCCATATGGATTGAATCACACGGATATCTCTAATCATTCGAAGATGAAATACACACAAGATAACTCGAATTTAACATCACTTGACACTTTTATACAGCCATGTGTCCGTATCTTTAATAAGTTCATCAAAGTCTATATGTCCAACTAGACTTCTTGAAGCGGCTAAACTTCGAACTTATATAGGTAGGTTCTCATATACGTAAACGTGTCCTTGTGACAAGACGCTTTCATTTAGAGCTTCTCAACTCTAAATCTTTGAGAACTTTGAATTGACGCTACCTTACCGTCACAACTAACATAGCAATATGGGTCATCGAATATTGCTAACAAACAACAAAGTTGTAATTCAACCACATTGAATCTAAGACTTGATGTTTCTTCAAGTGTTAATTGGGTTTCACAACTTTGTGCTATAGGACATAAACCCATTCCATTCAAAGCAAATATGATGGAATGTCTTGGCATTGCTTTAGTAAAGCAATCCGCCAAATTCATTTTCGTAGGAACATAGTCAAGACTTATGACCCCATCATTGATAAGCTCTTTCACTAGGTTATGCCTTAATGAAATATGCCGAGACTTACCATTATACACTTGACTATAAGCCTTTATTAAAGCCGAATTCGAATCACAATGAATAGCCACCGGTGAGATTGGCTTAGGCAATAAAGGCAGCTCTAACATGAGATTTCTCAACCACTCAGCTTCCTTACAAGCTGAGGCAAGAGCTATAAACTCTGCTGCCATAGTGGAATCAGCGATGCAAGTTTGTTTCTTGGAAGACCATGAAATGGCACCTCCTCCAAACATGAATACCCAACCACTTACAGAAGAGTCATCCTCTTTGTAAGTGATCCAACTAGCATCAGAATACCCTTCTAACACCGAAGGAAATCCACTATAAGCTAGACCATAGTCTAATGTACCCTTAAGGTACCTCAAGACTCTCCTTATTGCAAACCAATGCTGTG